CGTAAAATAATGTTCCATGAAACTATTACCTACTAGAATTAATGCTATTTTGTTATTACTACTGCTACTACTACAGCTACTACTACCACTACTACTACCACTACTACTACTTCTACTACTACTACTATTACTACTACTACTACTACTACTGGAGTATTTTTACTCTATCTTTACAGTTTTAGTAAAGAAAGGATTTCTTCTTTGACTGATCTGCCGGCCTATTGTGGATTTAATTAGATTTTATTAGCAAATGTGAGGCAGAAAATGTGTCTCTAGATTACTGTAGTGTTGTTACTCTTCTTGATTTTCTCTCTTACTCTTTTTTCCTCTCTCCTTCCCTCCATCCCTCTCTCTCTCTCTCTCTTTCTCTCTCTCTGTATCTCTGTATTCTTATTTATTCATATAATATTACATGTTCTCTCTCTCTCTCTCTCTCTCTCTCTCTCTCTCTCTCTCTCTCTCTGTATTCTTTTCTTATTTATTCATATGAAAATACATGTATTTTATCTTTTGTGTTTCGTAATTTTTCTTTCTCCTCCTCCTTTCTCTTTTTCTCTATCTATAGAAAGATCGAATAAATGAATAGAATGAATGAATGAATGAATAGAATGAATGATAGTAGTAATTGAGAGTATAACAATTCTAATGTAGCAATCTGTCTTAATGAATATTATATTTGATATATTATGAGATATTTTTCTGTAATATCTTGTACTTCTTAGTCTACTTTTCTCTATCTCTATCTCTCTCTCTTTCTCTCTCTCTCTCTCTCTCTCTATTTCTCTCTCTCTTTCTCTCTCTTTCTTTCTCTTTCTCTTTCTTTCTCTCAGTTCTTTTTTTGTTTGTGTGTATGTGTGTTGTGTGTGTATCTTTTTTGTTTGTTTGTCTCTTTCTATCTCTCTCTTTCTCTCTCTCTCTCTCTTTCCTAATCACCGTTTTTTGTGCGTTGTGTGTGCGTGTGTGTGTGCGTGTGCATGTGTGTATGTGTTGGTTCAATATTTTTAAAAGTTAATCGAGATTACAATAAGCTCCTGGCCTGTACGTATAAATAAAAATTTTTGATTAAAAATTTAATAAATAGGCAGAAAATTAATGAGACCGTTAAACTGTGGATCCGGTATAGTATTCTTATTATTAATGTTCTTAATATTATTATTATTATTATTCTTAATATTATTGTTATTATTACTATCATTATTGGATTTTTTTATTATTATTGGTATTATTATTATTAGAACTAAGAATGTGCAAAGAAATCTTCCTGAAGTATCCTAGATTGAAAAATGTCTCGAGACGCACTGATGACAGAGAATGTAGGAAGCTGGCAGCGGTTGCGAACTGCCTAGCAGCGGTTGCGCACTGCCCAGCAACGGTTGCCTTGCCAAAGTTACCTCGCGTTACCATTTTAAAGTTGAGACTTCGACATTAAGTAGCCGGAGTATCAAACAGAATTGTTAAGAATGAAACTTCGGTGTTGGAAAATGTAACGAGCATGTTTAAAACCTGACAGCTGGCACTCCAAGACTTCAAACAGCAGCAGTGTGAAACAAATCTCGACCACCAGATATCTTGGATACGATAGAAGAAATTAATTACTCTACACAACAATGGCCAACAGACTCCAAGTTGTTTAGACAGAGGAAAACAATCAACCAGTCAACCTGCCGTTATATTCTATCAAAAAAAGCCGACGGAATGTTACGTAAAAAATCTTTTCAAGTCTAAACACCTCAATATAGATAAGTATAGAATCAACCTCTAAAATTACTTATCAAACGATTTTAGACATTCTTATATTTTAATTAAAGTATATTAATTAATTAATTAATTAATTAATTAAAGTATAATATATGAAATCACTCAGAATGGAAGCATCACTATCCTTTCAACAGTCCTTGAATAATTCAACTGGGACAGATTTTTATAAGAATGCTACTACAAATACAACTTCAACCATACTACTACCACTACTTCTATTACTACTAACACAACCATTACTACTACTACTACTACTACTACTACTACTACTACTACTACTACTACTACTTTTATAAATGTTTCTTGTACGTGCATGAATCCATGAATGCTTGGGCAAATATTTATTTAATGAATAGATGTTTTTGTTGGGAGATGGCAGATTATGTGGAGAAAAATTAATAAAATTTGTGTTCACACTTTTTTGTGAAATCTAATTTCCAGTTTATTCATTTGCTTGTTCGTTCGTTCGTTCGTTCGGTTGTTCGTTCGTTCATTTTTTTATTCATTTTTTTATTCATTCATTCAGCCATTAATATAATTCATTCAGTCTTGCTATCCTCCATTCATTCATTCGTTTATTCTTTCGTTCGTTCAGTTCGTTCGTTCGTTCACTCATTCATTCATTCATTCATTCACTTACTCATTCATTCATCCGTAAAACTCATCAATCCATCCCTCAATAACAACTAATACCTATTTCTTAACTTTTCTATAATGGTATTCGTAATTAAAAATGTTTCATGTTCAAGCTTTAATAATAATAATAATAATAATAACAATAATAATAACAACAACAATAATATTAATAAAATATTAGTAGTAATAGTAGTAGTAGTGTGTGGTATTCTCCCGCCATTCTTTTAATCATTCATCCATCCGGCCGCCCATTCAGTCCATCCTTCTTTTCATCCAGAAGCGTTTACGACTCGCAAACATCTCAACAGCCTGTTAAAAGAGTAATTAAACAATTTACTTAGTGGGGGTAGTAGTAGTAGCAGTAGCGGCTTCAGTAGTAGTAGTAGTAGTAGCAGCAGCAGTAGTAGTAGTAATACTAGTTGTATAGAAGTAGTAGTAGTTGTTGTTGTAGTAGTAGTAGTAGTTGTAGTAGTAGCAGTAGTAGTAGTAGTAGTGTAGAAGTAGTAGTAGTAGTATTAGCAGTTGTTGTTGTAGTAGTAGTAGTAGAGTAGTAGTAGTAGCAGTAGTAGTGTAGAAGTAATCCTATTAGTATTTATACCGAGACGGAAAAAACAAGGTTCGCTTGCTTGTTTGTTTGTTTGTTTGTTTGTTTGTTTTCGTTCTTTTCCTTTCTTTTTCTCTTTCTTTCCCTCTTTCTTTCTTTGTTTCTATCATTCCATTATTCAATATTTTTTCATATATTTTTTCATGTTATCATTCATTTTTAAACGTTTATGTTTATTTGATTTTTTATTTGTTTTTATTTTTTTCTCTCTCTTGCTATCTCTTTCTTTGTTTTTCTTTCTTTCTTTCTCTTTCTCTCCAATTTTTTTCTATCTCTCTTTCTCTCTCTTTCTTACGCATGTGAATTTACATAAAAACTACTTCCATGGTAGCGACTTTATTCAGGCATCTCTAATTTTGTCTCTCTCACTTTCTATCTCTCTTTCTCATTCTGTTTTACTTTTTTCATTTTATTACACTAGCTATTATAAACTTTTTCTCTTTCTCTATCTTTCATTCTTTCTCTCTCTCTCTCTCTCTCTCTCTCTCTCTCTCTCTCTCTCTCTCTCTCTTTCTTCCTCTCCCTTCCATTTACACGTGCATAAAAAGACGTATGTAACTGTAAATGCTGGCGATCTGTGGTCGCGAAATTTATTTATCCCCTCTACTCTTTCTCTCTCTCTTTTACGTTCTCTCTTTTCTGTTACTTTCTCTCCATCTTTTATTTCTTCTTTTTTTTCTCTCTCTCTCTCTTTCGTTCTGGGTCTATATTTTTTTCAGTTTCCTCATTTATTTCTTTCTCTTTCTCTCTCGTCTTGGGTCATGACATTATTCATGTCACTCCTTCTTTTGATTCTTTCTTCTGTTTTGCTCTTTTTCTCTCTCTTCTCTCCTTCTCCTCTCTCTCTTTTCTTTCTTTCTTTCTCTCTCTCTCTTCCTCTCTGTCTCTCTGTCTCTCTCTCTCTCTCTCTCTCTACCTCTCTCTCTCTCTCGTTCAAAGTCATGGAGTTGTTTATGCAGCCATCGACAGACTCGTAGATTAACGTTAAGACAGTTGCTGTTTATTATTATTATTATTATTGTTATTTATTTTGTTATTCTTATTATTTTTGACCCGGGGTAATATGTGGTATTTCTAATATGATTGTTAAAAATAATAATAATATATGTAGTATTGCTTGTAATATATAGTATTTTTAGCGAGAAAAAGAAAGAAAGATAACGAGGCAGACAGACAGACAGACAGAGAGAGAGAGAAAGATGGAAAAAGAATGAAAGAGGGACAAAAAATAAGAACCTACAACATCTACATACACAGTATGCTACTTGAGTACTAAGTAGTACATAGTAATTTTTCTTTAAACTTTTTGACAAGTCTTCACAATAAATACATTGTTGAAATCGACAACACTTATGACATTTTTCACTGGATATTTCAATGTATTTGCTACATACGTCACTACGCTCTTCACTCATTTGTACTTATTTTCACTTATTAGCACTTATTTTCACTTATTAGTACTTATTTTCACTTATTTTCACTCATTACTACTCAATACTACAGCATATTTCTTCAATCTTTTACATTTTATCTTTACTCGCAGGCTAGGGAAAAATTTAAAATGAACCTTTCCTCTCTCGTCTTTAGCCTCACTACGGCTGTCAATCTGGGGTTAACGAATTGCATCGAGGTGGGCTATAAATTACAACAAAACAACGACAACAACAACAACAATAATAACAGCAACAACAACTGCCACAATAACAATAGTAACAACAATAATAATAATAATAGCATTGATGGCTTCATTGATTATTTTAACGATGAGGAGAAAGGCCACGACAACAATGTTAACATCTCAAACAACAACAGATACATCATTGTAGACAACAACAACAACAACAGTAGCAACAGCAGTAGCCACAGCAACCACACGACCGCAGCCATTTCTTTCCACTACTTCGAGAACATTCTAGTCCCACTGATCTTCACAATCATCATAGTAACCGGTCTAATTGGCAACATCATAGTCATCTTAGTCATCTTCAAAAACAAAAACCAGCTAGCCAACACGACTAACACATTCATAGTCAACTTAGCTATAGCTGATCTGGCGTTTTTAATTTTCTGCGTGCCTTTTCACGCCGTGGTTTATAGTACAGATAGCTGGCCTTTTGGCAGTTTTACTTGCAAATTCGTTCATTTTTTGCAGTTTTCAAGTATGGCGGCCAGTATATGGACCCTAGCTGTCATGTCCCTAGATCGATTCTTAGCTGTCGGCTATCCAGTTCAGACTAAACATTTGAGGAAGCCGAAAATTGCGCTGGCTGTTAGCGGAGTCGTTTGGTTTTTTGCTTTTTTGTTAGCTATTCCTGTCTGCGGGGTTTTTACCGTGAGAAAGTATGAGCTACATTTCAGAGCTGTAAGCAACGGTAGTGATAGTGGCTGTTGTCGTTGTAATGATAGTAGTAGTAGTAGTAGTAGTAGCAGCAGCAGCAGCAGCAGTAGTAGTAGTATTAATTTTATTGAAAGCAGTATAAATAGTAATAATGTTGACGGTGTTGATGATTTAATAGCACATAATGGAATGAGAGGTAATAATAATGATGATTTGTTTCTTACTTCAAACAACAACAACAACACCTGTAGACAACAACAACATCAACAACAACATCAGCAACAATTCTCTCTTGGCTTCATAACAATATGTGCTGAACAGTGGCTATCTCAAAACTCCGCCAAAATATACTACCTTACGCTACTAACTCTAGCTTATCTAGCTCCGCTATCGACTATAGCTATAATGAGCGGTTTTACTATCAGCTATCTCTGGCGTAGCTCTTTTGACATGGGCTTAGATCAGAATAGCCGATCGAATAAAGCTAAGAAGCGCGGCACTAAGCTGATAATAGCTGTTGTTGTTGTCTTCGCCATTTGCTGGCTCCCCGCTCATGTTATTTGGGTTTGGAGTCACGTTTTTAGCGAGATTTGGACTGATAGCTACAAGTTTGTCTTCATTAAGTTAGTAATTTTTGGTGTTTTTTTTGCTACTTGTTAGCGGTATCGATAACAAAAGTATTGCCATGTAATTGAATTATTCATTCATTCATTCTTTACTCTCATTCATTCATTCGTTCGTTCGTTCGTTCATTCATTTATTCATACATTCAATCATTCATCATTCATTCATTCATTCATTCATTTATTCATTCATTCATTCATTCATTCATTCATTCATTCATTCATTCATTCATTCATTCATTTATTCATTCATTTATTAATTCGTTCGTTCGTTCGTTCATTCATTTATTCATACATTCAATCATTCATCATTCATTCATATATTCATTCATTTATCATTCACTCATTCACCCATTCCATCAACTATTCACTCAATTATTCATTCATCCATTCAATTATATATTTCATTCCCTCTCTTATTTCAGAAAATTTATTTGAAAAAACAAACATAGCTAAAACAAAATTTATAACTTTTTTTGGCGATTTTGACAAACACAGGATGCCTGAGCATTCGAAGAAAACAAAAAATAAAAAGGCAAAACAACAACAACAATAATAACAACAACAATAACCAAAAAAATAAATATATCTCGGACGTGAGCGGAAAAAGATACTCGCTGAATACCAAAGAAACTAGATGTAACGTTACTCGCTACAGTAACTATGATGATAATAACAATAATAATAATAACAATAATAATAACAACAATAATAATAACAATAATAATTATAACAATAGTGGTAATAGTAATAAAAACGAAATACAGTTAGTAAGTTTGAACACGCTACCGAAAAAAACTCAACAACAACAACAACAACAACGTCAGCCCTGACGTCATAAACAATGACATCAACAATAACAACAACAACAACATCAACAATAATAATAACAACAACAACAACAAATTACGTCATTACTGATAGAAAAACAACAACAACAACAACAACAACAAAATCGTTGTTCAAAATCTAAAGATAAATATACATAGCGGAGTTATTGAAACAGAGATTACGTCACCATCATCATCGTCGTCGTCATCATCTTCGTCACCACCTTCATCATCATCATCATCATCGCCGCCATCATCATCTTCGTCACCACCTTCATCATCATCATCATCATCGCCGCCATCATCATCACCACCACCACCATCATCATCATCATCATGGCCATTCTCAATGACATCATATTCATCATTTTTTGTGACGTCATAATGGAGTTTACGTCATCTTCATCGTCGTCGTCAGCTTTTTGTTGTTATTGTTATTATTTTTGGGTTTTTTCATGTTGTAAGAATACATAAAATTAAATGAATTATATAACTTCGGCTCATGTTTCATACCTAACTCTCTCTCTCTCTCTCTCTCTCTCTCTTTCTCTTTATTTTTTCTTTCTCTCTCTTTCTTTCTATCTTCTGTTAATTTGGC